CAAGCAGGGTAATGGGGACGGGGAATGTAAAGAGGATTGGGGGCCCACGATTATCTCACAGAGAAGTCAGGAAAGGCTTCTTTGATAAGAAACCTAAAGGTGTCAGAACAAACCATAACATTCGAGAGAGGAATATGCAGACAGAAGGAAAAGGATAGATCCTTAGAGGGAACATGCTTAGTATATTTGAGCAAGTCTTTGGAGGCAAGTGAGCAAGGTCAAGATTAGTACAAAGTAAGTGATGGGAAAAACGTTTGTCAAGATGAGGATTTTGGATTTTGTGGGTGAGACGAGGACCCCTGAAAGGTCTGGGCAGAGTAATGTTGTGATCTAACTTACAGTTAACCGTGGCTGCCGCAGGGACTATGAGATAGCAGAGGAGCAAGGGCAATGACTGAGAGATCAGGTAAGAGGTAGGGAACAATAGTAAATGTTTCAGGGGTGGGAGCAGAAGAGATGGTGACAAGTGGTGGATTGTGATTGTATCTGGGAGAAAGAACTGACAGAATTTACTGACTAATGAGTAGAGACAAAGAAGAATCAAGAAATTATTAGGCCCTAGCAGGGTAGCTCTGTTGGTTAGAGGGTCATCCCTACACACCAAGGTTGTTTCTATCCCTGGTCAATGCACACACAAGAATCAACCAATGAATGCATTAAGTGGAACAACAGATCAATGTCTTCCCCTTCTTTTCCTCTCTCTCTCTCTAAAATCAATTGAAAACAGATTATTAGGTGCTAGGATCTAAGCCAGTACTTCTTAAACTTCAGTGTGCATCAGGATCTCCAGGAGGGCATGTTAAAACAGACTGCTGGGCCTCACCTCCAGAGTTTCTGATTCAGTTAGTCTGAAGTGGAACCTGTGACATACTGGGCTACCAACAGGAAAAACAGAACTGCCAATTACTGATCTAGAAAAAACTATAGATAAGAAAAAGTCAGTAGTTCCCTTTTGAACATATTAAATTTGAGATGTCTTAGTACCATGACTCTCTCGTATTTCCCCCCCAAAATCCATTGCCTCAATCTAATCATAGGAAAATATTACATACATACATACATACATACATACAAACTGGAGAACTACAAGGTATCTGATCAGTATTCTTCAAAAGGTCATCAAAGAAATGGAATGCCTGAATGTCACAAACAGAAGAAAAACAACATAGGATCTTGATTCAGATGCTGGGCCATTTGTGGAAAGGTTGGTGAAATCAGAATTAGGTCCACAGTTTATTTAGTGTTCTTGTACCAATGTTAATTTCTTAGTTTTGTTAATGGTCTCATTGTACCACTGTTATGTAGGATGTTAACATTAGGGGAAACTAATGAAAGAGGCTGTGAGAGCTCTCTGCACTATCTTCACAACTGTTCTATAAGCATAAAATTATTTCAAAAAGTTTTTATAAATTAAGATGCTTACATTAGATATCTAAATAGAAATGTTATACAGGCAGTTGAATATGTAAGTTTAGAAACAGAAAGGTCCAGGCTGATGATCTAAAATGGGAAATTGCCAGTGTACAGATGATATTTAAAATCATAACACTAGATGAGATTACCAAGAAAATGAGTTATTACAGAAAAGGTCCTAAGACAAAGTTTAGGGGGTTAGGGACATAAGGAGAAAAAAACAAAGGAGACTAAAAAAAGATGGCTAGTGAGGTCAGTAAAAGACAATGGTGTCCCTATGCTAAGTGAAGAAAACATTTCATGAAGGAGGAAGTGAGCAACTCCTTTGAATGCCAATAACTTGACTGAAGGTCATTGTGTAGAATGTGGAGGTGATTTGTGAACAAAGCTATTTTGGTGTAACAATAGTATAACACTACTAGACAATACAGAGCCTCTGTATGGATTAAAGCAATGCCCCTCTTGAAGACACTTTACTTCCATCTCTTGCAAAATTATCATATAATATACTGATTTTATGAGAACATGAAATTTAGTGCCACCTAATGGAAAACTGTTGTCATAAATATAGGATCACTGTCTTGAATGTGGCACTCATGCAGTGCATGGCCGGCACAACCATACTTATTAGCTTAGTTTGCAGAAACAAAGTCTGATTAGAATGGGTTCAAAATACAGTGAGAAAAAACAGAGGAAGGACAGACAACTCTTTCATTACAAGGAGCTTTGCTATTGGTAGAAGAAAGAAATGAGGCAATAGTCAAAAGAAGAGGTGGATTCAGGAAGGGTTTTTTTTTTTAAATAATGATATGTCATAGGCTGTTCCTGTGATGAGAATATTCTAGTAAAGAGGGAAAACTGATGCTACAGAACAAGAAAGCAGAATTGCTGAATGACGTCCTTGAGTGGCTGAAAGTCAAGATCTAGTAGACAGGTGGAGACATGGACCTTTTAATAAGAACATGGACAGCTTATCTAGAGCAACAGAAGGGAAAGCAGAGCATATATGACCAAATGTAGGCAAGTTAATTAATAAAATGGTGGGTGTGTACAGAAGATCTCTTCTGGTTGCTTCTTTTTTCAGTAAAATACTGGATACAAGTTCATTAGCTGAGAGTGAGGAGAAAAGAGACAGAAGTGAGGCGGTGACAGAGGTTTGGAAAAGAAATAGCTGCCAGCATAGTGGGAAAATGAATAAAGAGTGATACGATTTCAGGCAGCACTGAAGGCCTACTTGAGCTTAAAGGCCTAAATTTAAAGTGAGACCATTCAACAAAGTGACATTGCATATTCACCATCTACACTGCATACACAGTAGAGAGTTGAATTTAACCAGATGTATCCAACACTGGTCAAGAAGTTTGAGGGTACCTGCCAAGAAGTAATTACAAGTGATTATGTGTAAAGAGGTAGGTACTCTGGTAGGTGTTCAACAAATAATGAGATGAATCAAAAAAGAGTATTAGTACAAAATGCCTAAAATCTTTTACTTAAAAATTTGCAAATATTGACCTAGGCCTCCTTACCAAATCCAAACTTCTCACACTGACTTCAATGCCTTTCCAGCCTATTCAAATACCTTTAACTGCTATTGCTCCAACAAATCTGTAAAGTTCAAATCAAATTGATAATCTGGATTTTCTAGGGTACCTGTATTTCCCAGGTCTTTCTAAAAACTTTCAGTTTTTGGTGGTGGTGTCCCCAAAAAGAATTAATGTAAATTGTTAAATATAGGTCCTATCTCTAAACTCTTGGAGAGCCTATAATTAATTAATCCCTGGAGCTAATGGCTGGGCTACAAACATAGTTTTATGAAACTCTTCTGTGTAATGGTATTTTATATCTTGGAATGTTCTCCATAATTTCTCTGACTAGTTCCACAAGGTAAATCAGGCTATATCTTCCAATTATCATCTCTTATCTCTCATTCTTTTCTTTTATTCCATCCCTATTTAAAATATTCATTTAATATCAATAATCAGTCATTAGTCAGTAAACTAATTATTAAGTAATCTGCAAATTCTTACAAATCCTAACCATACACTGGTAAATCTGATTTTCTTTATTAAAAGTATGTAGTTAAAAACAAAACAAACAAGAATTACCTCCCAACAAAAATAAGACCTGCAGCTGATAAACCTGTTTTTAAGAGGAAGAAGTATAGGTTTATTACACCATTAAGGGAGTCTTCGGTCATGCTCCTTGGAGAATGTTGTTCTCCGAGTCAGATATCCCTTCTCTATGCCAGTATAAACAAAATGTTGGCCAGTTTTCAGAAACAAAATGTAAAAAGTTCATTCAAGCACCATCACCTAGAGCTAAGGCCACAGCTTGTTGTTAGGAACATGGAGGCTTAGGTAATTTCTAATAAAAAAATTTGTAAGAACAATTCCTTTAGGAAAAATAGGAACACTTGTTTTCCTGCTTTGACATAAAAAATAAAAAAATGTATCATTAAAAAAGCCACAAAATTTTTTTCCTTTCACCAATTTCTTTTGAAATCTTTTCTTCACTAATTCTCTAAGAAGGCTAATATAAAATCCTCCCCACCAGCCCAAAGAGCTCCAAGCAGCTACAGTTTATTGCACATAAGCAATGGTCAAGAATTGAAGAAATGATATTACATAACACACTTTCTATTGAAAGTGACATTCTTAGTGTCCTAGTATCTGTATCACCAAGGTTAATGTCAACTGAGCAGGACAAAATTCTCACAATGATTTCATGTGACTAAAGTAAAAGTTAATTTATTAGGCTGGCCAAAAAGTCCATATGGTTTTTTTCCATAAAATAAACGACATTTTTCATTTTCACCAATAACTTTATTGATGTGGATATTTTGAATATATCAGCTATCTCCTGTGTGGTATAACACTGACTGTTCTCTAATAATGTCTCAATTTGATTGCTATGAGCTTCAACTGGTCTACCTGAGCGTGGAGGATCATCCAGCGAGAAATCTCCAGCACAAAACTTTGCAAACCACTTTTGACACATTCTTCTTCATAGACTGCACAAATCTTTGTTTGTGTTTCAGTTGCACTTTTACCATTATTGAAATAAGAAAGCATAATATGCTGAAAATGGTGTGTATCTTCTTCCATCTTCAATATCAAGATGGCTACCTAAATATTCACCGGGTTTGATGTTTTTTTAATGCACCCTGATATGACAGCTGTCACAGTACAATCTAAAGGTTAAAGGTAACTATGCACTACTAGAGCCAGTTTATGGAAAAAACCAAATGAGCTTTTTGGCCAACCCAATATATGAACAGGGTGAGAAATTTTTATGTTCTTCAAAAAAAGGGAGCTGAGGAAAAACTATTATATATAAATTCATATGACTCACAGTATCTAAAAAGGATATGACAAATCACATTTTATATATGAGACAGAGGCACACACACACACACACACACACACAGGGACAGAGACAGAAGTATCCCCATCTCAAAAGTACCTTAACATATCTCTTTATGTACTTTACATATCTCTTATGTAAAAGCATCTCATATGCAAGCATTCACAACAATTCCAGGAGGAAGAACAATATATATTAAATTGTGGTGTAATTTATATTAAAATATAGGAAATATGTGGTGGTAAAAAGATTAAGTGTTACTGGTGCAAGATGATTTTGTTTTTGCAAATCCATGTATATTGCAAGCCCTACATACAAAGGATATAAAAAAAGAACTTGATATTATGTTCAAACCCAAAATTCAAAGTCTAAGACAAAAAATAGTGGCCTTTCAAAGCAATAACTATGTTTTAGAAATTAAGAGTATGTCCCAACCAAAACAGTTAAAAGTAACATGGTTCAAATGATTACCACTTCCACCATCAAAGAAAGCTGTACTAATGGGGGAAAATCAATCATTTCCCACCTTTTTCAGTTTACCTCTGTGAATACATATGGAAGTTAAAGGAATCAAAGTTGATAATTAGTCTTCTTATGCTTGTGAAGCCAATCATCTCCACAACATTCTTCCACTTGAAACCCAAAGACACCATACTCCTTCACTCCTTACCCCCCTTCATCTCTTTCCCATTTTGGCAAGAGAAAGATGAAATGCATGACATATTACAGTAGATAAATGTAACAAAGCAAAGTTTATAACCAAAATAATTATTAGCACACTAAGCAAGTAAAAATGCAAAAACCTAGTAAATAAAGAGAAATCACCATAATTAGGGCTCAGCTAATTGTTTTACCTTATGAAACAAGCTGTCGCCCCACCCTCCATTCAGGAGACACTTTAGTTTTATGTTTTGACTTATGTACATGGCACCTATTACATCACAAACAATTTTAACAATAAAGATTCACCCAAGTGTATAAAATTTTCTGGGTCAGCATTTTAAATAAATTAAAAAGCCCCCTCTCTCTCAAAAAAAAGATGATTTGAATTATACTGATATTATAATTTTAGAATGTATGCTAGCTGCTTTTTAAAATATAGACATATTATGTATATAGTAGGGCAAATAGTTTGTTTTTCTCTGTAAATTCATTTAAAAGTATATCTGTGCTTACCCTATCAAGGTCAGAAAGTTTAGCTTATTATCAGAAATAGGTAACACCACTGATGTTTTTACTAGCAAAAGAAATAATGACCTTTTTAAAAAGCTCGTTTATTTTCATGTGTGGAAGTGGAAAGGTCACTAGCTTGGCTGTGTTTCTGTAAGTTTTCCTTTCAATAACCATTAGGTTAAAGCATAACCTAATTTAAGATGTGAAAATTAGTTACGTTAAATAAAATTAGCCAAGGCAAGGAAATTGGATCACATGATCCTGAAGTTCTGTGGTGACAGCTTCCTCTGATTAAAAGGATAGTGATATTAGTTCCCTAATCTAGGATGTATGATCACTGGCCTTTTAAGCACAATAAAATACAGAGTTTAAGTAGGCTCTATATATTTAATTTAGGTTGAGCTACCTATTAACTCTTCATAGCTCTAGAAAAATAAATATCCATCTTAAAAATATCAATAGCAAGAAGTATTCACAATATTTGACATGAAATCCTTGACCATATGGGAATTTCTGTAATATAGACAAATCTGGTTCTACTACTACCCTGTCTTATCCCTTTACTTCCCTCCACCTCCTTTGCTGCCTTCTCTCCCCATCATCCCTCCAGTTTCTATTATCAGGAATTTACAAATGAACTATTATATAATAAGGTTTTTGAAGAAAAATCATGATGTGATTTTACTTAAATCTAACAGTATTAACTCAAATTGTTAAGTATCGATACGACCACTTTCAATATAAACTGAAGATCTTACTCTCTAATGACAATCCTCCCGCATTTCCCACAGTTAGGATTCTGCTAAGAATCCTATGAGACTGACCTTCATATTTAAGATTAATTTTAAAGTAAGAGAAGTTAAGCCTTGGGACTTTCTAAAAGATCAGAAAAGCTTTGTTATTATTATGCCTCTTTTGTTTCTATTACAGAAATGGTAGGTTCTTAATCATATTCACACCCATGAAGTCTTTTCTTGAATGGCACAGACCAGGGTTTCTGTGTTTAAAATGTTATGACTTAAATTCCTTTCTTTTAAGAAATAAACCACCATCAACAATACTTGACAATGATAACCTGAGCTACATCAAGTCTAAAATAACTAGGAGAGACACACACTAGTGGTCATTTTTTTTTTAATCTTCACCCAAGGACATGCTTGATTTTAGAAAGAAGGGAAGGGAGGAAAAGAGAGGAGAGAAAAGTCAATGTGAGAGAGAAACATTGATCAGTTGCCTCTTGTATGTGCCTCGACCAGGGGACCAAATCTGCAACCTAGGCATCTGCCCTGACCAGGAATCAAACCCGTGACCTTTCAGTCTATGGGATGACACTTTAATCAGCTGAGCCACACCAGCCAGGGCAGTGGCCATTTTTAAGTACACAAAATAATGATAGTGGGGAGCTGGGCTATTTAAGATATAGATCTGTTCATATTTAGAGGAAGCACTAATGAATACCTTGACCATCCATGCCTTACATGTATGATGAAAAACTGCCTACAAATATTTAGTTTTGCTAACAAGTCTTCTATTAACAGGTTATATTATATTTGCAACCAATAGTCCACTAAAAAAGCTCTCTGAAACTTTTATTTTTATCTAGGAGAGAGTGGTAAGACTGACGGTGAATAGGATGATAAGCTGGTTAGGCTGTTGATAATGAAGCTTCATTATTTTGAAGTATTATAAATTCTCAAATTATAATGTATCTTCAAATTACTATAGTTCAAAAGTCTGAAAATTGTTAAAATTTTTTAAAACTATAAAAAAATTAAAGCAAATGCTTCCCTTTTATTAGTTCCCATTACATCAGATATGTGCTTTTTCTCATTATTTTGCCTCTATGAATCACACCAAAGAGCTTGGACAATTGCATTCTGGAGTTCATAAAGGACCAAAAATAGTAATATATACAACCCATTTAAAAGTGATATAGTTTTGGCTTCAGAATTTTATTTTAAAGGTTGTACAGGGCCAGATTATGAGGCTATTGCAAACCTGGGAAATCTATCAGTTATATGAGATAAAAGAAAAACTTGAAGACGAAAGTAAATACATTTTCAATTTGTACAACCATTCAGTAGTAATGGAATCGTTCAGTTAACCATTGGTTAACTGATGAATCATGCAAAGGGGCCACTCAGATTTATCTCTCTACATGAGTTACATTACTGTGATTTCTAGACCTTTTTGGTAAATTAAAATACTTGTGTTTATTAAAAAAATGTTTTAATGAAACATTATATTAATTAAAAGTATAAAATCTCAGGCACTTAACTGAAATTAAGGCATGGGTCACTTTAGAAAAAATACCATTAAAGACTGATATCATGCCAGGACATGGTACCTTGTGAGTGTGCTTTTAATGTGTCTGAGACTTTTAACATCCATCTATTTGGATAGCACAGGGTGGCGTGAAAATGGGCAGCTTGTTCATAAACACAAACCTTCTCCTGGACACCTTGTGAGTGATATGTTAACATGTTAAAATAAAGGTTTGGAAAAATCTTTCCAAAATTACAATGATATACATACCCTTTCACACAGAAACATTTGTCATTATCATTGATGGCATAGAGCTTCCTCAGATCCTTTTCCCTTTCAGAGAATTCAGTTACTAAAACCATCGCACAACTAGTGATTCAATATAAAATAATCTCCCAAATTCTCCTAATGTGATCAAACCTCTATAAACACTAGAGAACGTATTCCATCACTTTCATGAGAAAGAGTCCCAATGCCTAAGAGGCTTAACACTCATATATCAGTCATGGCTGCATGGTTGGGAAAATGAACATCATGATGGACTCCTGCATTCTTCACACTGTGCTCATGGACAAAGTCAGTGTAGTTTCTATGTACAGGCTGGGGTGGGGACAAAGCCCTCGTGTTCCACTGGTTTCCACCACGTTGACTGCAGTCACTGGCAGCAGAGAGCCTGGATGGTTGGGGAGTGGGAGGGGAGCACAGTTAGTCAATAGGAACAGGAGAAAATTGATGTGTAAGAGGTAATAAAGGAGAAAGACAATGCGACAAACATGCATCACTACTACAAGTAGTTATCAACATCTCCATGCAAGCACATTCATTCAAGAATAACAAAGGTGGGGAAATCCCACAAAGTTACATGTAATGAAAAATGTCTATATGAAAATATGTATAAGTAAAAAGTTTGTTAAGTGAATTAAATTAAGAGGAAATTTCACAGAGAGCAAGATGCTCTGTAGCTGTCCCTGATGTTGCTACCAAAATCAAAGGCAGAAATGTTGCTTGAGGTTCTAATGAGAAGAAAAAATATTATAATCTAACTTAATTCAAATGGTTGGTAGGACAATTCTGCATAACAACAAAGACAAATATAAATAAGGGCAATTGTAAAAATTACTCCCCACATTAAGTGATTTCACAAAACTGAAATCCAGGAAACAAAATTCAGAATGAGCTTTTTTTAAAAAAAACCTATCCTCAGAGGCCATGTAATTTTATATCAGTTCCCAATTACAATAAAGAACCATTGTTCCTTCTATAATCAAAGTTCACAGGAGCTCAGAATGAAATTCAACAGGTATGGATAATATGATAAGATTGTAAGCCCCCTCCAAGAAACAGCTTAATAAGTGTATTAGATGCCTTTTATACACAATGCTACAGAATAGGGCTAAGGGCTATAGAACTACAAGAGTGAAACATGCATACAAGCAGTTCCTGGTTAGAAATCATCAGAGTCCTCCAGTAGAAAGAAACATTTGCCAAGGTTCAGAAAGCAGATATTATGATGTGGCAAAAAGGGCAGCACATACTTAAGATAATGACCAAAAAAACACTTCAATTATAAAATATGTCTAAGGATATTTAAATATAGTATTTTTATAACTCACCCAAAACATGAACTCACTATTTTTTTCTTGGGGAAACTGAAAAGAATTGGCTAAAAGAATTTCTCAGAACAAATCTGGAAGTCTTTTTTTACAATAAAATCATCTTTCTTTCAACTGAAATACAATTTGTTCATCACATCTAACCCATGTAATTCATGACCCTCAAAATAGGGTCTCTGAAATTTTAGAACATTAAAATAGGTTTATGCTCTTCCCAACAAATGCAAGATTTTAAAATTCTACTCAATTTTGTTTTTGTTTTTATGAATGATTTAAGGATTTAAAAAAGCCTGTTTCTCCAAAGATGATCCATACTGGATAATTCTAAGTTTTTGAATACCGTATCATTCACTGAAATAAGTGTCATTTAGAAGATAACGAAAACAGGGAGTAGGTTAGATTAAATTAGTTAAAAGTTATCTGCCAGGAAGAGAATAGTCCATTATTGTGGCCAACTGTTCAAACCTAGGGAGCATTTCAAAATTTTATTAATGTATCACTTTCTAAAGGAGGACTTTTATATTCATTTAAAAGTATTAATAAGTATCAAAGCATGCAGAAACAAAGAATGAAATGCAGAATGTTATTTTAAATTAAAGCTGGGGAATCCATTAACTCTAAGACATGTTGGTTCTGTGTTCAGTTCCATGCCACTACTGACATTCTCTGAGGCTCTTTAGGCATTAAAGGTCACCATTTTACTCCTTTTCAGCAAGGGGGGCATGGTGTCTAAGCACAATTGCATGAGGAAAGGACACACAGTTCCAAATGTTTCATTTTTCTTTTAAGTCAATACTCTCATATTCAATATTCTCTCTTTCTAAAGGCTGCATCAAAGGAACTAAGTAGTGTCTAACAAATCAAATTAAACAGATTTAAATATATATCCATAGAAGTGGAAAACTCTAAGATTCAGTGTCATACTACAGGATGCAAACGAATCAGACCCTTGTTCCATATTAATATAAAAGGTAAGCATGTATTAAAGGAGTTCTATTATAGTTGAAGTTTCAGTACTACATTTCCTTGCCAATAGACTTGGTGGTAACATCAAGGAGATAAAAATACATAGCTATGTTTTCACTAAGAAATTGGAAGAAAATTTTCTTAATGGCTCAAAACAATAAAGACTAAAATATGACATTTAGAAGCCTCACTGTTCATATTTTAAGTGTGTTGCACCCACATGCACGCACACATGGATTTCCCCCCAGCCCCCACACACATCATACTCTTAAGAGAAAAAAAGAAAAAGAAAGAAAAATAGGATGGATCATCTCAATTTCAGAAACTAATCAACTTATCTGGAACTGAAATAAAAACATGCCCAACCATCCAGAGCAAAGCGCCTTGCAATTAGTTAAGCCAAAATAACACTGAAACACAATTACATAGGAAAGACTGAAAGGGATCACCAACCACTGTTGACCCACCACCATGAAGAAGAACTGGTTGCACAGAAAGCTGACCAAAACCTTGAGATCACCACAGAAATTCATTAGATTTCAGGTAGTAAACAAACTAAGAGCAAGAAGAAAAAAAGAGAAAAATCCTATAAATTTTCAAAATTCATTTCATAAATAGACATAAAACTTGAACAGATGATGCAACCAACATGACCACTCAGTCACGTAATTCCCAAGAAGCCCCCCAAGCCACAAACAATTAATTGGGAAAGAATCAACCCCCTGATTAACCCAGTAAAACACAAAGTATTCATATTTGTACACTTACTATTAGTCTAAAAACAACAAAAACCAAAAAATCTGGAAACCTACACAAGTGAAACCTCTTCCTTGTCATCATATTATCTCTCCATCCCCCAAATGAAGGACTTTATGCTTTGTTTTATTGAACTATGATTATGTTTTCTTTTTGGCTTTATCTTCAGTTTTTAAAGAAGAAAACATATCCAAAGCAGTAGCATCATGTTGTGTGGAATAACACGGAACAAGAATATTTTCCTCATGGATCTGGGAAAAGGTTCTACTATCACTGAAATATTTTTTAATATAGATCCCTACCCCCCACCACTCCCAGATTATGCTAACCAAAATAAGGACAGCTGTCTGATGTTCATCATTTAGACATCTGCACTCTGGAACCTCTTCATCCATACCTCTTTTTCCCCAATCCCATTAACTGCTTAATAATATGACTACTTTCAACTTACAAATATGAATAATTTGCTTTCAATCATATTTAAAGTACTCTATGATCAAAGCTGGGCATTTAGAATATGGGTAAGCAAGGAATATTTTATTTTGGTTTAAGAAATTAACAAACCATTTCCCGTCATGCTGGTCTGTTCCAGGACTCCTTGGAAGGTTCTCTATCTCCACCAGCACAGGACCAGATGGAATAGAAGGAGTCACAAGCAGAGTAGGTCTCACACCCCAAGCCTTTGGACACAAATTATAAAAATCATCTATTTTGCCACATAAAGGATGTCTTTACCAATAAAAAGAACATTGCAAGGAAATAGTATGTGCATAGTGAACAAATATAATGTCAACAAATGCTTTAATGTTATATGTCACCTTAGAGATAATAATTAAGTGAATATTAATATTTTATTCATTTTACAGGATTTACAGGAACAGAAAGTTTTATGGAATACTTGTTCTATTTACAACATCTGAGAAAATAACAAGAGGGTTTCACACTACTATGCCATTTTATAGATGATAAAAAGAAAATGCACAAAAATTTCTCAAAATTATATCACTATGAAAATTCAAATAGTAATTTGTCATATTTAACTACAGTGTTCTAGTGCTTTAGAAATTTAACATTAAGAAGTCTTACCTGTTGGGAACCATTACTCTGAGTTGAAACATTACTGTGAAAAATGTAAGGGAGGAAAAATCTATTAAAAACCATATGTAGGGTTTCACATGGTCAGATGACAATGAAAGTAACTTTTATTTTTAAATACATCAATTGTGTTTCAAATAAAGAAAAAAGTACTGTTGTTTAAAACTAAGATTATAAGATGCTCAGAAAACATTTCCTTTTATAGGCACAGACTTGCTTTCCTATAGTCTGCTTATTTAATATGTCCATATACTTTAATTGTGCTTTAATTATATTTTAACTTGATTTGTACTAAACGTGTTTTGGATGTATTACTAATCTTGTTTATTCATTAAACAATATATGTCAAAGATGACAAAATAAAGATAGCAGCACAAATGATGCCTTAAATTCAAGGCAGTAAGCACAAACATCCACATAAACTTACCTGCCACTTCTTTTATATATTTCTATGCTCTAGAGATTTTCCAGTGTGAGCAATAGCTCAGCATTCTGTAACTTAAAGGGCCTTAATAAAAACTTAAAGTTAGAAACTTCTCTGTATACCTTCCTTACAAATAACTTACAAGTATTTTTTTAAAATTTAGTTAGTATCCTGAGGTAAATAATTCAACTGAGGCAAGAAAAAATACATTCAAAGTCACCTAAAAAGTTCTTTGAAAGTTAGAAAATAATGTACAGATTTAATGAGAGCACTGCATTCCAGAAAATCAGATACAGAATTAAATACATTCAGCCCCTACTGTTAAATTATTGACCTGCAAGGAAAAGGAAAGAATATTTCAGATACCCCAAGGAGATTTAAAAGCCAATCACTGCTAGTAAAAGGCTGGCACAGACTTTTCCATAGCAATATTCAAGAATATTATACCCAGCTGAGATGTCATTATAGTTACAGGAAATAGGCAAAGCTTCTAAATACAAACAAACTTTCAATGCAGCATCCAGAAGACTTTCTTAGAGAAGTGAGAGCAAAACAAAAACTATCTGATGATAAAAGACAACCATTTACCAAAGAACTCAAGAATGAAGAGGTCTTGCTAAAAAGCTGGGTGATGAGGAATGAAACCATTTGATGCTATTTTTAATTAACTACATCTTTATTACAAGTTAAGTCACCAAAACTTGCATGATCATTGCCTGGGTTCAAATCCCAAACTGCAGCACTAGCTCTGCTCTCAGAACCTCAGGTTCCTCATTTGCATTAGACTGCTAGAAAGATTAAGTGAATTAACATCAGCAGAGCACAAAGAACAGTGATAAATAAAACTGACCCAAAAAACCTTAAAAATATATTTAGTGTAGATCTGTTGCCAAGGCAAATGTAAAAAATATACCTGTCAGCCAGCCCTGACCAATGTGGCTCAGTTGGTTGGGTATTGTCCTGCACAGTGAAGGGTCACCAGTTTGATTCCCAGTCAGGGCCTGGGTTATGGGTTCAGTCCTTGATTGGATTGTGTACAAAAGGCAACCAATTGATGTTTCTCTCTCACATCGATGTTTCCCTCCTTCTTTCTCCCTCCCTTCCCCTCTCTCTAAAAATAAATAAATAAAATCTTAAACACACACACACACACACACACACGCGCCCCTCCCCCGCCCCCAACCCCCCACCGCCGCCTCCTGCCCCTGAGGGGCACCAGTTCTTTTTACTAATCGTGTTGTTCTTCTCAGAGTACATTATATGCTGCTTTAGGTAACACATAATCCCAAATATTAATGAAATCTCATCCAATCTGTTTGGTACAGAAATTAGACTTACACTATTCTATGATCCCCTGGGTTACTCTCTGGCACTTTTCTTCAAATTGGAAATAACCCCAGGAGGTGACAGATAAAAAATGAGTAATAACATCAGAAAAAATTACTTAAATAAGTGATGTTAACTGGATTAGAGCTCCTGTTTTCAAACCCTTCTAAATGTAAAAGTACTATTTTCTCATAATTACACATATTCTTTCACATCTACTAATATGAAAGTAGGATGGAACACTTCTCATTACTATCATAATCCAAGCTTCCTCTTTTAAAGGATTACCTGCAATAACTGACCCTTTTTGCTTTTATACTGCCTCTACTCATCATTTCCTCCACCATTTCTTCTTTTCCTCTCTTTTCAGTTTGTAAAATTTTCTCTGCTAAGCTTGTATGAAAATGTGAACTCTCCTTTAAAATATCACCTCTTCTTAAGATAATTTATATTAGTCAAGACTCACAAGAAAATAGGAGATAAAATAGTACAAGGAAAATGACTGACATCAACCGATTTGAAAACGTGTTATTCAGTCCTGGCCAGGTGGCTCAGCTGTTTGGAGCGACATCTCATGCACCAAAAGACTGAGGGTTCAATCCCTGGTCAAAGCACATACCAGGGCTAGATTCTCCAGTCACGGCATGTACGAGAAGCAACCAATCACTGTTTCTCTCTCATATCAATGTCTCTCTTCCCTATCCCCCTCCCTCCATCTCTAAAATCAATAAACATCACTGAGGATTGAGGGTGAGGATTAAAAAAAAACCTTGTTGCTCAAATTGGAATAGTACGAGGTCAAGAAGCTTTTTTTTAGATCAAATACTTGTGCTTTGTCAAACAGTACAGTTTTCCATGGTTCACTGTATCAAACCTGTTCATGCAAACAGAATTACAAAGGCACAACTGAAAGGGCATTCATGCCAGTCCAAACTCAGGCTCTCAGGCAACATTGTCAGTAGTGCTCAGTAACTGTTCAGTGAGGAAAGCTGGGTCTCCCACTACACTTCATTTCTAAAAGTTTATTCTAATAAAAAAAACAAAGTATCATCCTTTATCCCATGTCTACTGTTTTCCAAAGCCAAAGTATTACTCAAGAAGAGGTTTAAAAATTAGTTATTAAAGTTAATTTTAATTCTAAGAAAGAGACTCTATAGTCATTCACTTTTAGTCGGAAGTGTGTTATTTCAAAAAATGTTTAAAGGAGGACAAATTTACAAATGAAAGCCTTAATTATCACTGTTTGAACACTTTGTTTATTTTTCTGCTAACCTTTGGAGGTTATCTTCTTTGAGTTCTAATATTCTGTCTGTCCTACTTCCCTTTCAGGAAAGCAAGACATGATCCATTAAACAAAGAAACAAATAAAAACTGTTAAAAAAAATACAGCATACCTCTAACATTTCTCCTCCATTATCTTAACAGAATAGCTTATACACAACTACAAGGAAAATAAAATAATCAACAGATAAAGAAAGTTCAGGGGTACTCTTTCAAAAAGCAGAGTGCTTTTGTGGTGAATCACTAATCAAAGCCTGGCTTTAATGGCTTTCTACGTGAAAAAAAACAACTGAGTAGGACATCCCAAGGTGAGGCTGACCATAGTCAGTGTAGACAAATTTTAAAAAGGAATAGATTTGAATGCCCTGAATCTGATACTTATACAGGCATTCCAGGAGACTTTGATATGTACCAAGGTTGAGAAGCATTATAGAAAACTATACAATGTAATATATACTATTAAATGCATTGCTTCATCAGAAGTAGGACTTCTAGACTGGCAGTTTGAGGACCTTCTCCTCAGCAAAACAAAGATTTAGATGGTAACAATTATTTTTTAGAAATCATCAAAAGGCATACATCAAGTGGAGAAACATTTATTCAAGAAAATGTAATACGTAAGAAGGAAGTCATTTGAGTCACAATTTATTCTCCTTCCCCATTCTCCCAAATTCAGTGTTGTGGAAGCTCTACTCCAGGTTTGTGCAGTCAAGAAAATGGAACTCTCTCCAAACAATGCAGAGTTTAAGTCAGCTATTTTAAATATGTCCACAAACTAAATTTAAAAAGGAAAGTATGAGAACAATGTCTCCACAAATAAGAGAATATCAATAAAGAGAAAAATTATAAAAAGAACCAAACAAATCCTGGAATTGAAATGCACATAACTTAAATAAAAATTTACTAGCAAAACACAACAGCACATCTGGGCAGGCAGGAGAATAAGAGACTTGAATATAGGTCAAGTGAAATTATCTAGTCTGAGCCACAGAAAGAAAAATAATGAATAAAAACGAACAAAGACTTGAAGACCTGTAGCATGCCAACAGGTGTAGCAATGTATACATAATGGGAGTCTCAGAAGAAAAGGAGAGTAAAGAGCAAAAAGAAAATTTGAAGAAATAATGGCTGAAAACTTCCCACATTTGATGAAAACAATATACCTTAGAAAAGTAACCAAAATAAATAAATAAAATCTTAAAAAAAAAAAAAAAAAAAAGCCCTGGTTGGTGTGGCTCAGTGGACTGAGGGTCAGCCTGTGAACCAAAAGGTTGCTGGTTCGATTCCCAATCAGGGCATATGCCTGGGTTGCGGGCCACTTCCCTAGTTCAAGCCATAGTAGAGGCAACCCGATCAATGTATCTCTCGCACACCAACCTTTCTTTCTCTCCCTTTCTCCCTCCCTTACCCTCTCCCTGAAGATAAATAAATAAAATCTAAACAATGAAGATGTTAACCTCTAAAAAAAAATGAATAAAGGGATACCACTACCAACCTTACAGAAATAAAAAGGAAAATAATATAAACAACTATATTCCACAAATTATATAACTAAATGAAATGGACAAATTCTAGAAAGACACAAACTTCCAAACTGACTCAAAATGAAAATAAAATCTGAATAGATCAGTAACAAGAGACTGAATTAGAAGAGACAGTCCAAGCAAGATGGTTTTAATATTGACTTCTACCATATATTTAAAAAATATCAATTCTTTACAAACTCCTCCCAAATACCAGGAGAGAAGGAAACATTTCCCAACTCATTCTGTGACACTAGTATTATCCTGATACCAAACCAGATGAAGACATTACAAGAAAACTATATGCCAGTATCTTTGATGAATACAGACTGACAAATCCACAGCAAAATATTAGTGAACCAAATCCAACAACATGTATTATAAAGTAGGATAATACACCATGACAAAGTAGAATTTATCCCACAAATACAACTGCTTATCTTCAAATCAACCTTTCTTCTTTGAGCTCCTTATGTGCAATATCATGCTAATATCAAATGTATGGCATTCTCATCATAAAAAGCACACCCACACCTATTCTACTCCTAATTTCTTTAAACTGCTTTATTTTTCTTCATGTCAATTTTATATGGAATCATATGTTGTTCTCTAGTGCTTAGAAACAACTTAACACTTTGATAGATCTTCAACAAGTATGTTTATTTAATGGCAGCAACTACCTGAATTCTTAAAAATTCTATGTCAATTCCTAAGTTGCAAGGCATTACCCACCTGAGTTCTTCAGGTCTTGCCGTACTTGCTGGTAGAATAAAAAAAAAAGAAAACACCCAATTAGTTTCCTCTTACGTGGTAAACTGCATCACTATTCATAAAATTAAATCTGGACTAATTGCTTTGTAAGCCATGTTTCCCAAACATAGATTTAAAAAACTTCATTCACAAAATGTTCTAGGGTTCACATTATTAAAGTCAATATGACAATTACATCCTTTTTTAAAATAAAGCAATAAAATAAGTATACATCTTTTCAAGCCTCCTAGAGTGAGCTGAGTGACAACAGAGCACTATCAGTTCAAAATAAGAATTAACTTAGGTTTTAAATGATCATAAACTGAAATGGCTTAATTAACAGCTATCATTTCATTTATAACAATACCAAAGATTATTAGTATAAGTCAATTATTTTAAAACACTGACATTGCCGCCCTGGCCGGGTAGCTCAGTTGGTTAGAGCTTTGTCCCACACACCCAAACATTGGAGGTTCGACCCTCCAGTCAGGGCACATACCTAGGTTTGCAGGTTTGATCCAGTTGGGGCATGTAAGGGAGAAAAACAATCAATGTTTCTCTCTTACATCCATGTCTGTCTCTCTCAATCTCCCCTTCCTCTGTCTCTACTAAAATCAATGAACATATCTTCAGGTAAAGATTAATTAAAAAAAAAAAACAACTGGCACTGCAAAGCATTAGGTCATGGTGGTTGTTTCTAGACAATTGGTGATGACTCTAATATTGGACATACTTAAAATTCAATCTGTATTTTAAAACAAACTTAGATTTGAAATCAAACACAAGTTTTAGTAAAGCATGCTTGTTATTATGTAATTAAAGTAACTTACAGGAAGTAACATTTATGAATTTGCAAATGTCAGTGTATGATACGCACTAATGACTAAAATTCAGAAACTGTTATTTCACGGAATTCTTAATCATAATATAATACCATATGACATAATTTTTACTTAAAAGGTATTAATCATTTATCAATGTTTTATAAAGTTCCTAAGGGGATTTTGAAGATTATTATGAATGAGATCTAAAAGTCAAAAAGAAAAGGGAAAATGTTGCCCTACGAAATAACTAAAATAGTTAATATGAAAACTGAACACAAACTCAGGGTAGTGTTTACACTGGGATAAACATAAAGTTTATTCTCAGCAGCCATATAGGCAATTTTTCCCTTTGTATTTTATTAAATTGATAATGTCCAAAACCAAATTCAATAAATAAAGAGTACTTAAGTTGACTGAAATAGACTTAAGATTCAGGCAAAGTCTTCTCAAGTAAACAGCAGCAGCAACATGAATTGTTGAGAAAGAAAAGTCCTTTGAAAAAGTGTTGCATTTCACCTTTCATCTGCAGAGTTCTTCGAGAATATCGTTTGCTGGGCCTTCTTTCAAAGGATGTTGATCTTCTTGCTTTATTTGTTTTTGTGGTCTGATACTCAGTTTTCCCACTAAAATAAATAAGACATATTAACAGAATAAGAGCATTTAAGATGTACAGTAATCAAATACACATAAATGAGAGAAAATTCTACATTGGGATTCTTCTTTAAAAAACCATCCTGAGGGAACTTTTTACAGTCTTGATATCTCTCTTTACCACATCATTCTTTCACTCTTTAGTCTTGTATAAAATATACAACACACAAAGTGTATCTTTTTTTCTTAAGTATGTGTATTACCTAAGAACATATTAACTAAGTTTGAGACACCTGTGCTTTTATGGAACTTCCCTTCCCTCCCCATTCATACTCCTTAATGCAAAGTATGCAATTATCTCAAGGTTTTCAGTTACTTTTTCTAATAGTGACACATATTCCAGAATAATTTTCCAGAAATATTTAAAACTACTGTCCTATCTGCCATGACTCCCATTTAAATTCTGTTAAGAAAACGCCTCCTCGCTTTCAATATAGATAGAAGCTCTCTTAATGAATCCCACACAATTGTTCTGCAGCATTATTTACATTCTTTTTTTAAATCATACTAATTCTCATGGCATGCTGAAAAGTCACAACCAATAATCTACTCTCAGGTAAACCAAAATATTCCTAATTTACCAACAAACAAGAAGTCTATAAGATTAATGGAACTTCAGATTTAAAACGGACTAGAAATGTTATCCAAATTAATTTCCCACAAAATGCAGGGTCCCCTTTTTCTATATGGTATTCGCCGTTAGATGAAAACGCCTTAAAACTCTTGTTGCATTTATTTAAATTGAGGGCTAATTAATATATAAAGTAAATGTCAACAGGGATATAAAATCTATTACATCATTATAATGTTTCCTGTCTATACTGGAAATTACAATCAATAACAGTAACAGTTTTTCTTTTATTTTGGCCAATGGAAAACACTGGCAAGCCACTTTATTTCTCCATCCCCTAATCACTACATCTATGAAATGAGGGGTTGACCGAAATTTTTCGGCCTCTATGAAAGAAAGATATAGCAGGTAGCTATTAACATTAACCTATATCTAAATCGTGATCCCAGCCGAATAAATCCTGATCGCTGAGAACTCTTTTGGACAGGGCCGCGGAGGCGGAAGAAGGCATGATGCTCCACAGCACATTTCCATAAATGTTTGCATGCTTTCGGATGGTCCAGTCTAAAGACAAATGTATGCTCTTGCTCTTTGCCCTGAAAAAGAAAAGGATGCAAAAAGAGGGTAATTATTACATTTAACATTCCTGTATCATTACTCAGCTACAAATACAACTCCAGTAATACCATGAATCAAACAAAGCATTTGGTTTGCTCCCTGAAACTCAGACACTCTTTATAGCTACCTATATAATAAGGAAGAGTTGAAATCAAGCTGTTCATTTTCTCAGACAATATAAAATTATTCCTAAGAGGGTCCTCTCTACTCATGTGATCTCATTTCTCAGAGATACGTAAAATGAGGTTTTATCTGCGACACTTTGGAATAAATGTATTATTATAATTTAAAAGATTATACAAGATCTGGCAATATATAACAACAGACATAAAAATGTCCAACATCCTTTGTCATAATAGTCATACTCGCAGGAATCTAATTATGATAGTTAACATTCATAAACACTTTCCTATGAATTACTTCAATGAGCAGTTGCTATCATTAGCCCCTTTTCACAGGTAAGGAAACTGAGACTCAAGAAAGTAAACACAAAGTCACAAAAAGCTAGTAAGACAGGAAACCAGAATTTGAACCTAGCCATTCAGGCTCCCGATGCTAAGTTTATAACATCTAAGTTATACTGGCTCTCTTGGAAAAAAAAGATTTTCTAAACAACAAAATTTACACCCAAAGATTTTCTTCAGTGTCATTTATAAGAGTAAAAGCTGGCCAAAAAAAATTTAAAAATCTACCTGTCCAAAATAAAATAGGTAAATAATGGTATATTTTAAAACTCTACAGAGAGATAAATGAATGAATGTACTATTTTTTTAATTCATATTACAGAATACTATATATAGATTAAAATACATGAACTAGATCTACATGGCTACACCTGTTTAGGTAAAATAAGATTAGAGGGACAAAGAAGATTCTATTATTCTGGTACCATTCTGTTTCTTCATCTGGGTGCTGGTCATACAGGTATATGTGAAAATCCGACAAGCTGTACATTTATTTTTGGACTTACATGAATGTGTGTGATACTTCAATGAAATGTACTAACAAAAACTACACATAGAAAAAAACATGGGAAAACATATAAACTCATAGTAGGAAGAAAACCTTTCTATGACACAAAACCCATAAGCCATAACTAACTGACAAATTCACCTATTTAAAACTTTTAAAATAAATGGCAAAAATCACATGAAGTAGTACTAAAAGAAGAACAATAAAATATTTACAATTTTACAACAAAGGGCAAAACCTGCAAGAGAAAAGACCAACAACCCAAAAGAAAAATGGGCAGAAGATATAAATAGACAATTTGGAGAAAAGGAAATACAAATAATTCAAATGTATGAAAAGATGTTCAATATCACTCATAACAGAAATAAAAATTAAACCTATTATGAAATTTCATTTTTCACCTTTCAGATAATGTGATAATTCCCGAAAACAGGTTTATACACAGATAAATAGTGCAACTTGGGAGGCTCTCTCTATATCCATGACAAATACACATAACCATTTGAACCAGCAAGTCCACCTCCAAGAAATCATAGACATGTGCCAACATACAAATTAATGTCTATATAGTGATTGCCAATTTACAAATTAATGTCTATATAGTGAGTATCAATTAAAATTGATTAAATAAATTAGGGAACATCCTAGAATACGACACAGTTTTAGTTTGTGTTTTAAATAAGAACAAAGAAACACTATGTGCTGATATGAAAAAGATTACAGGTTATAAAGTAAAGTTAAAAAAGGGTTAGAAAAGAACAGTATATAAGCATGATAACTTGCATTAAAAAAACTGATATACATGTTTGCTTGCATATATGTATCAAATAACTTTAAAAAAGATATCCAAGAAGCTAATACTATATTATGTATTAGATCAAATCTAAATGCTATCAACTGTAAGATGAAGAATTATTTTATCATACAAAAAGAACAAGTGTTACCAATTAAATTATGACCACATTTTCTTATCACATAAAATTATATTTTACTCTTCTTGAAGGGCTACTTTTAGATTTACATATAAATATCATTTAATCATATATGAGCTTACATAAAAAGGAAAATATTTGTAAAACAGCTTTAAATGTGACATCTCCCTCTTCTGAATCATTTCTAACTCGTTTGCTAATGATATAATGATCATCTCTGTGCCATCAAGAAATTTCTTTTTAAAATGACCTATTATTGTCTCTGATTTTCCACAAGGGTATGTGATAAGGCAGTCTTTTGTATCTCAGTAATAAAACTTTAAAACATAGCACTGTTTCATCTACATTTCAGAATCTTCTTCTTTTAGGTTCTGCTAAGGTAGCCCTTCCCACACGTCACTGTGCATATAAATCTTTTTAACATTTTGTTCAATTTGTTTTTATTTATATTTACCAATATGCATGTGTTTTTCAAATTTATTTCATTGCATGCATGAAAGTTACTTTTATTTACTAACACTTCTGTAAATTTTGACAAATACACAGAGGAGTGATTTTCAACTGATGTGTCACAAGAAGTTTTAAAACATGCTATACCTGACTATGTAGTCAGGGGCACTGACTTCTTTTCCCTTAAGACTGTCAAGTTAAAAAAAAAAAGAAGACAACAGCCAACACAACAATAACCATCTGATATGAATAAATCAAAATAATACCTTTTTTTTCCTGTCAGATTGGCAAAAAACATATTTTTGGTATGTCGCAGAACTTTGGCAATTAGTTTATGTATGCCATGAGATTAAAAAAGGTTGAAAATCACTGGCATAGTGTATAGCCACCACCACCAAAATCAGGAAACAAACTAGTTCTCTCATTCCCCATAATTCACTGTGCTGTTCCTTACTGAACCTGTGATCTAGTCTCCATTCCTATAGGTTTCCCTTTCCCAGACTGTCATACAAATAAATTCATATAGTCATGACCTTTTGACTCTGATCTCTTTTACTCAGTATAATGCATTGGAAATGCACCCATGTCATTGGGTGTATCAACTAGGAACTAGGTTTAACTGAAAAAAAAAAAAATTAATCCTTAGTTTAGAATACTTCATTTAAAAATATTATTAGGTAGACCTTTTTCATTACTTTTTTTGATCAGGTACTAAGGGATAGTTATTTAAATGTAATTTTTATATACATGACCTGAAGCAAGAAATTATTTAATTAACTTACCAATTATACTAAGTTCTATGGCTCTATAAAACAAGGAACATTTTCTTCTTTTAGAAATTTAAGTTACCACATAACACAGTCATTGTTAATAAGTAATGCAATGCAATTCCCACCTGATCATCATCTTCTACCACCACCAGGGTTAATTTATTCTTCTTAAAATCCAATCTGGTTATCTTAGGCCTGTAACAATATGAGAATAATAGCTAGATTTCAAATGTCCTCTAAATTTAACAAAAATGTTGTTAGTTAATGACCTAATTAAACATCTAATTTCTGAATTGAAAATTGGTAAGGGTAAACATAACTTGCACTGCCCATCAAAAAGGCCTCCAATCATAAAAATAGTTAATAGGGGAAAGAAAAGTTTCAAAAGCAATAACTTGAGCAAAATTAATGCTGCATATTTATCAGACATTAAAAATGTTAAGGAGCCCCAACTGGGTGGCTCAGTTGGTTGGAGTATTGTCCCATACCCCAAGAGGTTCTGGGTTTGATTCCTGGTCAGGGCATATAATTAGGTTGCAGGTTTGATCCCCAGTCGGGGCACATACAGGAGGCAACCGATCGATGTTTCTCTCTTACATCAATGCTTCTCTCTCTCTCTCTCTCTCTCTCTCCCCGCTCCTCTCTGTCTAAAATCAAGAAACATATCCCCAGATGAAGATTAAAAGAAAAATGTTAAGGAAAAAAAATGAAGAAATCCATTTAAATATTTCACAGGCTCCGAACTACAGTGTAAGAGATTCTCCAGGCCTAGTGTCAAAGCAGCAACATAGGAACTGGATACAGGAAAGACTATAAAACTTTTTTGAAAGCATAGAAGAAAACAGGTTATTGATTAGGGTCTTCAATTCTATCTTCTACAGCAATCTTGGTTTGAGGAAATACATTTTTAATTAAAAAAAAATTAACCTCACTTTATGGCCTACTTTCCAACTCTATCTCCCACTTCTACTAAAATCCTACACAACCTACCATATTTGAACTCTGTACCTCTGTGAACTGTAAAATGTCAAAACAATGCAACTCTCACTAATTTTTAAATATAACTTATGTAAAATATAATTGTAAAACATAGCTTGTTTACAAGAGCTGCACTAAAACAGTAAGTGTAATAGGTGGAGGAGAGGGGAGAGTCTATCACTTATATAAATGTAACAGATACATAATGCCTACTAGGTATCAGGTAGTCTTCTAAGTGTTACATGTATTCATTTCTTTCTAACAACAATCTATGAGGTGGTATAAAAGATGCTTTATCTCTCTGCCTAGAGCATTTTCTGACCATGAAGTATATCCCATTAGCACACTGGGCAAGCTGGAAGTGTCAGAGAATTAACACTCAAGGAACAGATAAATAAATACCCCACCCAGCTCCCTCACCCAGCAAGGGACAGCAATAAAGGTGTTCCACTCAAGTCTCTCAAGAGAGTCCCTATCAGGGCCACCTGTACGCAAAAACAAAGGAAATATTATCCTCAACTTTTTAAGGGAAAATACTTTTCAACCCAAAATTCCATTCTCGGCTCAATTACCAAGAAAGCATTAAGAGAAGACTATACCATTTCAAGGCATCCAAGGATTCAAATAATTTACTTCCTATACCCTTTTCTCAGGCAGTTACTTGGGGAAAAAATACATATACATATATATACACACATATATACATACACACACATACGTGTGTGTGTGTGTGTGTGTGTCTGTGTAAAATAGGAAAAACAAAAGCACAGAAAGGAAAATATGGGAAGAAAACACAGGATCCTGGCTGAGAAACAGAAAATTGAAAGTCCAAAGATAAAAGCTATAGAGCAGCTTGGAGAGCAAACAGGTCACACTGAAATAGAAGAATCATTTCATGTAACCCTTGAGAATTTGAAAGAACTTAAGAAGAACACAAGTCAGATAACTTAAAGGGATGTGTGTGATGCTGTGCAAGACATTGGGGGAGGGGGAGCCAAGAGCTAGGAAAAACAAAAAGCCATATGATAAGGAAAGGTAATCCTAGTGAGTTCAAGGATTTTGGATTTTGGGGTTGATCAGGAAAAAGAGAGAGAGAGCAGTATTGCACAACAAGCTTTACTGATGGCTTTGTTTGGACAAGGCTGCACGAGAGATGTTCTTCACAGCAGAACATGCAGAGACAAATGGCACAGGACGACAACCTGGAAGGAGAAGGCCACATGGGAACTGCCAGAAGAGAGGGGGATCAGAGAGGGGGCTTTTGCAGCTAGGCAATGGCATTCAGCAGCAAGGGGGGAATCTTTCAGTCAGAGAGCTCTAATGGGCTGTACTGGTTTGGAGTCTTATATAGCTGAAAGATTTGTCTTATCTACTGCTAGTAGTTTTCAGTAGGATATGCAAAAAGACAGGCTCCAAATAACTGAAAATATACGTACTGGGCTATATGTAAAGCAAATGGATGTGTAAGAATTTGAATTTTGCGCTGGTGGACTTTGAGCTAAATAACAGTCCTCACATCCTCACATGGAGCTAATATACAGGGACTATCTCCAACCCACACATGTAACACCAGTATACCACTAAAGTCTGTAACAGTTCTGACACAGATATTAATAATGTAAACACTGTTTCCTGATTTTCAGCTTTTAAAAAGAAACCAGACAAAACCTGAAGAACTTAATTATGGTTATACATCTATCCTTGATGCAAAATACAAATATAATTTAAAACTCTGGATGATAGAAGTTGGGACACAGAAAGAGAAGCATAGCTTAAAAGGAGATGTAAAAGTATTAATATCTTCCTTTCACACAATAAGGAGTAGGGAGTAAACAGGCTGTCTGTGGAATAAGAAATACTAAATATAATGACATAACTACACGACAAGAGTGCCCATGTGAACATTTAATACATATACACATAATATTTATATTAAAACATGCATTTTGACATCCCTTAAAACGAATGGAAAATGCAGATAGAAGAGTTTTAGTGGGACTACAGATGGGACAGATGAAACTGTATGATGGAGACAGTTTCAATTCACTTAAAAGCTTTTCAGAACTATTTGATTTCCAAATTCTACTTTATGTATTAACTTCATATAAATGTTTTTACACATTAAAAAATAAAACAACAATAAAAATCTTTGACATTAACTCTGCTTACCAAAAAAATAAGCCAATTTTGGTCTCTCCTTCAAAAACAAGAACTCCTGTTGGGGTTAATCCCAAGCTATAGTCATTCCCGTCTCTAGCCTAATTTAATGAAAGTGAAAAGTGTTAGCTCTGTTTGCATAAAAGAGGTTTCACAATTTTACACAACTGTTCAATTTTATCTTCACAGTGAATTATATTAATTATATTCCAGTAATATTAATATGCAAGGTATTTTCAACTATTAGAGTATCCAAAACAACATTCTCAGAAAAATTAATGTATATTTAGTTCAATGGAATGCTGTAGTTTTAAGGTATGTTCTTCATTGAAAGAAGTTACACTCCCACTACAACAAAAGCTCTTCCCAGATTCTTCCCATGTTCTATTCACCACTTAAATCACAAGCTTTGAAAAAACTGTCTTTCTGAGAAAAATTTACCTACTTAAACCAGAAATAATTTAAATCACTACACAAACTATACTACTACAATTTATCAAAGTCCTCCCAAGATACAGATTTTCAACTCTGCTTCCTAAATTACCTTAATTTTTATAGAGCCTGCTTTAGCTTACATGATATAAGATGATATGAATATAAAGTGAAAGAATAAAAAGCGGTTTTAAAAAGCTAAAAAAAAAATAACAGCTTAAAAGAACAGATATACTTTTTGGAAATTCTGTTTGTCTCTTTTCTTTCTTATAATTAATCTTAATGTGAGATTTTTATCGTTCAGTATTTAATCTTAACACTCATCTAAAGTACCCACTGCTATCCCATGTATACTCCATGGCCTCTCTTAGACTGAAAAATTTCATAGCTTGAATCTTGAAGGAATAAATTTTTTCAAAAGCAGCACAACGCAGTGCTTACCTTGACCACATGCATATCAACCCCATACATTTCTAGCCATTTGGCTTTATTCAGATAATTGGTTTCAGCTTGCGCTGGTGTCTGACCTCTGAAATTTAAAAAATAGTTTTTAAAATAATAATAAATGTAAATGAATTCTATACCAAGTACAGACACAGAAGAAAACAAATATGAGATCATTATTATAGGGATGTTAAAGAAAGTGTGATAAAATGTCAAGTACCTGTATTCCTTCCATTTCTCAAAAATAGCCAGCTCCATCTCTTCAGTCTGAATGGGCATGAACCTGAACTCAGACACCAGTTCAGGACTATGCTCAGCAAGATCATAATCACCAAGTTCAGCTACAAACATAAGTTTCACAGTTATATTTTGTTAATAAGTTTACTTCATTCTGAATCTTTCTTCACAACCAATTTATTAATAAATATTGCCAAGATTACAAAGATTCTTTCTTAAAACTACCAGGAATTCTTAGCACCCAAACCATTCCCCAAAATTAATCTAGTTTATACTGCTGACTTCTCTGTCTATACACACAAATCACCTATTTGTGGTTGGTGGTGTATTTCCAATTAAATGTCTTTAATCTATTTATATCTTATAATGTTTAGTTTTTGTGTGAAAACCTCTTTCTAGACTTCCACAGAGAAATACCTTTTGACCTTATAATGAATAAACAAGAATATTTAGCAATCCTTAACAATTAGCTGGTATCTGTTAAGAATCTAATATGCAAAGAATGTGAAATCATATACCACTATTAGATGTTGTCCTCCTGCAATTTCAAATTACTAACCTTAAAGAAATAACAAAAAAATGCTAAAAAATATTTGGGGACGGAAAGCAGGAGAAAAATAACTGAACGTACAATATTTATGTAATTTATTTGTGGCTATCTCTGAACTATGGGTTTGGGGAAGAAGGGAAAACATTCTTTTTCTATACTTTAAATTATTCCTTTAAAAGAATATCTTATGCATTAAAAAATTAAAATATTTCCATTTTTAAAAAAGTCTAGCTGTCAAGAGAAAAAATATAAGAACTACATTGAGATAATCACTAAAATAGTAACACTTTTTTAAAGATTATATTTATTCATAGTTAGAGAGAGGGGAAGCAAGGGAGAGAGGGAAACATCAATGTGAGAGAAAAACATCGACTGGCTGCCTTCCACACCCACCCCGATAGGGGACCGAACCCGCAACCTGGGCATGTGCCCTGACCAGGAATCAAACAGGTAGACTCTTTGCTTTTGCAGGACTACACCCAAACAACTGAGCCATACCAGTCAGGGCAATAATAACATTATTTATTGAGCACCTACTCTACACACTAGACCTGTTACTGATGTACTGTTAGTTAACTTCACAAGAACTTTGAAGAATATTATCATACCCCTTTATTGCTGAAGAAACTGCTCTTTTGTCTGAACCATTGTGTCTCTAAGGAACTCCAAACCAAATCTGCTACATAATGTTGTTCAGAATATATACTAAAATGATTCAGAAAAGTGAATTTGAGAGTATGAGAAAAAGTTAATGAAAACAAGAAGTTCTTTTTATGAAGATAAAATACTTCAGCATATTTATTCTTAAGGACCTTAAGAATAGTAGAGTTTGGTAAAATAGTAAGATGGGGACAAAAAGATGCATAAAGAATAACATAAAATTTGGAGAAATCCAAAATAATGGTGTCATGGATGAAAAAACCAAGTAGAAATTTTATTTAAAAAAAATATGTAAGTAGGGTTAGGAGATAATAGAACAGCACATGTATAAATCAAACAGTAAGTACTTAATGAGCACTATTCTGAACTATTTTGCTAAATACAACAAAATGTATTTAAAAAAACTGTATTTTCAAGAAGCATATAGTTTGCCCATCATGAAAATTACACAATGAGACAAAGACTATATGACACAATAAACGATATAACAGGTACTGAAAATGACAGCTTTTCAGCAGAACAAAGAATTTTAGAATTAACAACTTCCTACAGGAATTAATAAAATGTAAAAAAAAAAGTGTTTTCAAGAAAGATGCATCCAATTATATACTTCTGATCATTACAATGTTAGAGGCATAGCATTTCCAAACTAGTGTCTAGCTGATATTCTAGCTAAATGAGAGTTTTAATTTGCAGACAGGCTAGGATAGTAGATGGAGATAAGCAGATAACAATTCATACTAGTGGCAAATTTCTAAAGTACAGAAATTTCCTCCATTCATCAATCCCTCTATCAACATAGAAATATGCTTTCTTAAATAGTGGAAGCACCAAGTAAGTAAAATATTAGGTTTAGCATAAAACATTAAAAATTTAGTCTTATTATGTATACAATAGCAAATATTGGGGATAAAGATGGAATCAGCCCCCCCCAAAAAAGCATAAAATTATAATCAGAATATTTCTTTCCACTTTGTGAACAAGGACTGAAACTATAGTTTTACTAACATGTCAATTTTTCAGAAGAAAATTCCTAAATTTAACAGTATCAGTTTGACAAGGTACAAGATTTGAGTTTTTCATTATTCTCATTTACTGGAAAACCTTTTTATCCTCAAAAACACTACCAGAAATTTTTAAATACATTCTAAGTATTTCTTTCATGGATTTGTTTTTAAGAATAAGACTAAAAGAAAACCATATGGCCATAGCAACTTACTAATATATAACTATATTCTTTTTAAGAAAAAAATTAGCTGAGGGTAAATTATAACATTTACTGAATTATCAAGTAGACTGTGATTTTGTTTGAAAACACTATTGACGGAAAAAGAATAGAAGTAGTGAAAGGGAAGGAAAAGAAGGCAAGGTTCTAAAGCAAGTGAAAGTAAAATCAGAGTTGAATATTGATATAAATTTATACAAAAATAGTGCTGCTTCTCTTCCTGCACATCACTTTAAATCTTTTGAAATTCTTTAACTAAACACACACTGAAAGAATGATGCTTAAACTCCCAATAATCAACATGAAAATTGTTTACCTTGCAGATTATAAGCTGCCAACTGAACTGCTGTATCAAAGGGACAATCCAATCTAAGACCAAACAGACAACTGGTTAAACAAGTCAATTTCACAACCTTCATTTTAAGATAAATGGAAATACATATTTTTATCTTGACCATTTCTTTTCCATAATTAAGTATAAACTTATTTTTCAAAAACATTTTTCAGCTACTCAAGAAAAAGCAGTTTACCTTATGCAACTAATACTCACTTTCCACTGAGAATATCTTGTTTTAATTGCAGAACAAATAAATACCTAGGAAAAACAAGGGGCACAATTTTAACTAAACAGAACAATCTACTGTAAAAATAATCTTACCCTTCTAATTTGAGAAGAAACATTTTTTTTTTATTTTTTAGATTTTATTTATTTATTTTTAGAGAGAGTGTAAAGGGAGGGAGAGAAACATCAATTGGTTGCTTCCCCAACTGGGGACATAGCCTGCAACCCAGGCATGTGCTCTGACTGGGAATTCAACAGGTGACCTTTTGGCTTGCAGGCCAGCACTCAGTTCACTGAGCCACACCAGCCAGGGCAAGGAGGAAACATTCGTAATTACAGAATTTTACCCAAAATAAAGTCTATAAAAGAAAAAAAAGAAAAAAGGGGAAATAAGCATCGGGAAGATGATTGCATTTCTGCAAGGTAATAGCAAGAAAAAGTAGGCATAGAGTACTACTGCAGAGAGAATAGGCTTAAGGCAAATTACTGAGAATAAGCTCTGTGAGCTGCTTTAGCTTTACTCTTACACCTCATATGTGAACGGATACAAGCATGAATATAACTGTGGATTATAGCTATAATCTCACTGGCAAATGAGTCAAGAGGAAACCACTTCTGAAGGTACTCAGCAACTCAATCTTTTACTTAACAGATAGTATGTGGAATGAGTCATGGATTTGTAATATCATCAATAAATAAATATCAAGAGGGCAGGAAAAAAGTAACGTAAGTATATATATAACCTACTTAAAGTTTATTTCTAACTATTCAAACCAAATCAAAATCTAACATTTTTTTATTAATCAGTGGTATTTCAAAAGGTAAAGAAAATCAGGAGCCAACTTGAATAAACTCCCAGGGGCCAAAGATAGATCACTTTGAACATCAATAAACATGGCAATGTATTAAAACGCATTATCATGTTTAAAATACATGAGTTGATAATGATACTTAAAAAAAAAAAAAAAAACTCACTAGTGCCCTGGCTGGGTGGCTGAGTTGATTGAAGCGTTGTCCGAACACCAAAAGACTGTGGGTTCGATTCCCAGTCAGGGCACATACCTAGGTTGCGGGTTTGATCCCCAATAGCGGTGCATAGGGGAGGCAACCAATCAACGTTTCTCTGTCACATTGATATTTTTCTCTTTCTCTCTCTCTGATCAATAAACATATCCTCAGGTGAGGATTAAAAACAACAACAACAACAACTCACTAATTACCTTTGGAGGATGCTAGAAAACCAACTATTTTGAAAACTGATAAATAAAATAACTCTATAGTTAAAAAGCACTTTTCCAAAATAAAATTCTATTGTCTGAGGTCTTGTTACAAGGGGCAAGGAATTCATTGCATTAGCTGGAAAGAATTATGGACAATCTTCTAACATTTTAGCTAGCCTGACCAAACTTTACCCATGTACAACTCTGGACAGTAGTCTTACCGGGTGAGCTCTTCACGAAGATTATTTGGTTCTGAGGAATAAAACTTAACTCGAAAATGTAGGCAATAGGGCGAACCAACTGCCATTAAAAAAAAAGAAAGGAAAAAGCTTTAATTTTTTATAACTTTAAATAGTAAGAATTTACAGTCAGTAAATTTGTCAAAATCCATTGAACTGGAGCCAAAAGATAACAGGTTATTGTGGCAATACTTCAGTTTACATTGTAGGCTTGATTAAACCTAACATACACACACAAAAAAATCAGTAGTTTTTTAACTGTACCAACAATCACATAGTACAATAATAATCACGTGTCCTCTGAAGAATAGATAGCTGCAAATTAATTCTAACAGTTCAGGGCCAAATACATCAAATAAAAATGTTTTGACCGTGCAATCTAACAGCCCTAAAAATCTGCAGAGCTGTATTTCTCCAGAGAACAGAGGAATGCCTATGTTATTAATTGCTGGGCAAATCCTCCCACACACTTTCCAATTCATTTAACCTACTTAGTTATTAACCTCTCTATTCTCAGTGGTTCTGTTACTTTGTAAAGACTAGAGTTGAGGTGCCCTGAAATCTGTTACTGAGCAGGACAAGATGTATTATGGACTGAACACTGGTATTTTCCCAATTTTTGATAGGAACAATACTGCTATTTTATGTGAATTACTTCCTTTAGCTATTCTTAATTTTTTTAAAAGGTACTGCCTTAAATTCTCACAATAGTTTCTTGTTGGGCAGATGCCCAACAAGAAAAGTCCAACATAAGAGGTTACTAAATAAAGGTTAAGTATCTCATGGGAACTCAATCTCATTTGCAAGTTGCAAGGCTTTCTCTTGGAAACAAAGTGTAAGGCAACTGAATCTAATTACCATCAACTGTATATAATTTAGGATCAGTATATCAGATTGAAATTATTTTAAGAAAGTAGAGATGCTAAGGAATTCATTTGAAACATGATTTCTTATGTCCTTACTATTAGAAATCAGTTACTAGTATATAATTATATAATTAAATTTTATTTTTCAACACTTACTTTTTACTTGCTTTTTGATACTCTTTGTACCATCCAACCAATGCTGAAAACAAAAACAAAAATTCAGTTTTTAAGCAGATGACAAAATTTAACATTTTATTTACTAAAAGTTAATTTTCACCATGCTTTCAATGATAACCACAAGGAAATACAGGGTCCATCACAAATAACACCCCTTTTTTACTACAAAATCTTTTATTACAAAGTCATAAGCATGTAATTCTGTAACATAACAACATCACACTCAAGCACACCATGTGACATTTTAGGTGAAATATTCAAATTAAAACTATAAGTTATTACACCTATATTATTGCCCTACCAACCACACTTAAGCAGGGCCTTACTTCTGCTGGACCCTGTATTTCACAAGGGAAATAAAGAATGAAAATGAGAGGAAGGGTTATCTACCCAAAATCCACAGCAAGTTTATGATACAGATAAGGAAAAAAAAGAACCTAAAGGCAGACATGACTTTTTATATTACCTTTACTCTCTCAATAACAAAAATGATATTCTAAATTTTCCCCTTAGTTCTCAAAAAGAGTCACTTGCAACTGTTAAAATTAGACAGAAAAGTATCTTCATATTCCATATTCTTATAACAAACAGGTAAGATTTATTAACAGACCATAACCTCAAATTAGGTAAAACAACAATGCCACTTATATTTTACAAAATAGATACTACTCAAAGAGCCCGCACAATAAAATGAGATTTTTCTCATAACCAAGGCCATATCAAATGAAGCGGTCTTTGCTCCTTTATTTAACAAATAAAAAAAAATGTTAACATTGTGACTCGCATTTCTGTAACTTCTTCACTCTGAAATGTCCATAATACAAACAGACCTAAAAACCAACTCCAGAGACTTTCACTGATAAACCATTCCCACGTCACTTCTCTTTATTAATCCTTTTACACCATCAAGTCCAAACAGTGACAGGATACACTCAACCAACTAAGATACACATAATTGTGTTTTCGCCAGCATGCTTACAATTCCAAGCACCCGAAACAAAAAGAATGCTCTTGTGCTAACTAGCTCACAGAGCTAAGGAATCCAGTTTCAGAAGTGCAAAGAGAGGGTAAACAAAGCTGCATTGTAAACAGACTTGTAATGATGTGCTTTTCTCACCAATTATTTGCCCTAACCTCTTCCCACTCTCCCCTAAGACCCAAAAGTGAAATTCACAAGACTATCAGTATGCCAGCAAAGTACCTCTGCATGTTGAAATCAGAGAGTCAGTAAATATTTTTGAAGACAATTAAAACTGTAATGTTTTCCCTGGATTCCAAGTGTGTAGCCTAGTCAGCCACCTCTCGTCTTTTAATAAATTCAGTTGGGCACCCAATTTTAAGCATATTTCAATTTAACAAATGTTCAGTTTACACAAACCTCCATTAATAGATGCTAGGCCAGCCAACACGAAAAGTACGACTCAATTTATTTGCAGAAAAGATTTCAATCTAGGTCAGCAAAAATCCTATCCGTCTTGACCAAGCCTAACAATCCAATATCGAAAAATCCCAGGCTTAAAAAACCACATGATCATCTCCATAGACGCAGAAAAAGCATTCGATAAGGTACAGCACCCATTTATGATCAAAACACTCAGCAAAATGGGAATAAATGGGGTATTCCTCAACGTAATGAAGGCCATATATGAAAAACCTACAGCCAACATCATACTCAACGGGCAAAAACAAAGCTTCCCCACTAAGATCGGGAACACGCCAAGGATGTCCGCTCTCACCGCTTCTTTTCAACATCGTATTGGAAGTCCTAGCCACAGCGGTCAGACAAGAGAAAGAGATAAAAGGCATCCAAATAGGAAAGGAGGAACTAAAGCTATCATTGCTTGCAGATGACATGATAGTGTACATAGAGAACCCTGTAGACTCTACCAAAAAACTCCTCACCTAATAAGTGAATTTGGCAAAACAGCAATATACAAAGTCAACATTCAGAAATCAAAGGCATTTTTGTACACCAGCAATGAAATAGAAAAAGAAATCAGAAAAAAAAGTACCATTTGCTCATGGATTAGAAGAATTAATATCATCAAAATGTCCATACTACCCCAAGCCATTTATACATTCAACGCAATCCCTATTAAGATACCAATGACGTATTTCACAGAAATAGAACAGACATTTCAAAAATTCATGTGGAACCATAAATGACCCTGAATAGCCGCAGCAATTTTGAGAAAGAAAAACAAAGTAGGAGGGATCACAATACTGGACATCAAACTCTACCACAAAGCCACTATACTCAAAACAATCTGGTACTGGCACAAGAACAGACCCATAGACCAGTGGAAAAGAACAGAAAGCCCAGAAATAAGCCCAGGACTCTATGGGCATCTAATATTTGACAAAGGGGGCAGAAGCATAAAATGGAGCCATAACAGCCTCTTCAACAAATGGTGTTGGGAGAGCTGGATGGCTACATGCAAAAAATTGAAATTGGATCATCAGCTGACACCATACACAAAAAGAAACTCAAGATGGATAAAAGACTTAAATATAAGTCACAACACCATCAAAGTCCTAGAGGAGAACACTGGCAGGAATCTCTCAGATATCCCATGCAGCAATTTTTTCACTGATATGTCTCCTAAAGCAAGGGATGTAAAGGAAAGAATAAACAAGTGGGACCTCATCAAAATAAGAAGCTTCTGCACGGCTAAAGAAAACATCAGCAAAATGAAAAGGGAGCCGACCATATGGGAAAATATATTCGCTAATGATACATCAGATAGAGGTTTGATCTCCAAGATATATAAAGAACTCACTCAACTCCACTCCAAGAAGACAAATGATCCAAGTAAAAAATGGGCAAAGGACCTGGGCAGACACTTTTCCAAGGAGATACAGAGGGCCCAGAGATATCTGAAAGGATGCTCAGTATCACTAGCCATCAGAGAAATGCAGATCAAAACCACCATGAGGTACTACCTCACACCGGTCAGAATGGCCATCATAAACAGATCAACAAACAACAGGTGCTGGCGAGGCTGTGGACAAAAGGGAACCCTAGTCCACTCTTGGTGGGAATGCAGACTGGTGCAGCCACTGTGGAAAGCAGTGTGGAATTTCCTCAAACAGCTGAAAATGGAACTGCCTTTTGACCCAGTGATTTCCCTGCTGGGACTATACCCTAAGAATCCCAAAACGCTAATTCAAAAGAACCTATGCACCCCAATGTTCATAGCAGCACAACTGACAATAGCCAAGTGTTGGAAGCAACCTAAATGCCCATCAGTAGAGGATTGGATCAAAAAACTATGGTACATTTACACAATGGAATACTACGAAGCAGAAAGGAAAGAAGAACTACTAAACTTTGCGACAGCATGGATGGAACTGGAGAGCGTTATGCTAAGCGAAATAAGCCAGGGGGCGAAAGACAAATACCGTATGATCTCACCTATAAGTGGAACCAAAGCAATAATACAAAGGTGCAAGGAAAATGAGACCAGCAACACTGAAAGGAAAAGAAACCAACAGAGACAAGAGGGAAGGAGGGAAGGGGGGCAGGGGAAAAGGAAGGGAAGGGGAAAGTCAAGGAACATATAGCAAGGACTCATGGACAAAATCAAAGGGGAAGAGCTGAGGGAGGGAAGGAAGGAGGGGGCAAGGGAAAGTGGTGGGGGGTAGGCAGAGACAAATGTATTTGAAAAATAACTTAATTAATTTCACAAAGAAAGAAAAATCTCAGGCTTAATTGTGCAAAATACTTACTACAACCTCATGTCAATCACATACAGTATACAAAATAAAATTAGTTTTTATGACCCAGATTCTTTTCTCCCCACAATCATGAATCTAGGAGCTGCCCTGTCTTCAGGCTTTACCTACTATACTGCAATGAATTAACAATTTTATGGCTGGTCACCCGGGCAAGTCTCTTGCAGCCATGCTTAGGGAGGCTCTCATACACCACAACGAGTACAAATGAGCACAACCCTTCCAGGAGGTAATTCGACAATGCTTTAAATATAAATCCTTATGGATGTGTGCTGATTCACCTACAAGGAATTACAATATATCAGGAAAGGTAAGACAACTTATGTACCCAATAGTAGTAAACTGCCTAAATAAAGTATTTCAGTACGAAAGAATACCACACAACAATTAAAATGAATGAAAGCAAATACTTAAAAATCTGGGAAATTACCTACAATATATTGTTAAATTTTTTAAAGGCAGGTTATAAAATATCATAAATTATTTTGTCAAAAGATACAATTTGTATAAACATGCATTTTCTTTTGGACTGTGACAATCTATATAACAAAACAGTAACAGATATTAAGTAGATAGTTGAGATCAGTGGTGCTAATTTTTTGTCTCTGTTGTTTCCCATATTTTCAACTTACTCTATCAAAAGCACATATTATTTAAAACAACAGTCACAGGTCTCCTTATTTTAATTATTTTATATAGCTAATATATTCATACAGTTTAATTTCTGGTAATATTAAAGAGTATATGGTCAACATATACTTCAACCCCTGCAATAGGCCAGATTTCTGTTACCACACTCACAAACATACCCCCAAGGTATTATGAGTTTCTGATTCCTTCGAGTTTTTTTCAAACAGGAAAGAAAGAAAAAAAAAACTCTCTGAGTGTGCTGGTAAAGGGTAAAGAACATTAACAGACTGAAAATCAACAGGCTAAATATAAATTTTGACAAAATAAACTTTGAGGAATATAAAGAAGAAAACATTAATACAAGACAGACCACTTATTGTTTCAAGAACAACCTGAAGTCCTCTTAGACTTAACTTAAATTTCATCCAGTTTAAGAAATTTGGGGCTAGTCTCACAAGTGCACCTTAAATTTCTAGTTTGCTCCCTACTATTCTAAGAAACACATTAAACATAAAATCATTCCAGTGAGATAAAGTATCAGAGTTTTTTCCCAAGTAGACATTTTAGTCTTTTCTACCTGCATATAATTAATAACTTCCTAATATCTGGCATGACCTTAAGACAACTCAAAATTCAGATAAGGCATCAAGCACATTT